TAAAATATAGAATATCAAGTCAATCTATGCTAACTTTTTCACCGATCCCTTTCTTTGTATAGGGATGGTGTCTGGACGAGAATCATTATTGAAAAGCCATTCGGCCGAGATCTTGATTCCTCAAACAAGCTGTCAGCCCATTTGGCTGGGATGTTCACGGAAAAGCAAATTTATCGAATTGATCATTACCTTGGAAAAGAAATGATTCAGAACCTTATTGTTCTCCGGTAAGCTTTTCACCTTCCTTACGATACTGTCTTACTCACAAAAAAAACTAATTTTCTTATTTACTTGTTTATTTCTAGATTTGCCAATAGAATATTTAGTCCCCTGTGGAATCGCGATCACATCGATAACGTTATGATTTCTTTCAAAGAATCGTTCGGCACAGATGGACGTGGAGGCTACTTTGATAATTATGGCATCATTCGGTATGTTCGTATTAACTTTACTATTGCCCCTTATATCTCAGTTATAATTCACAGATAGCTTGACCAAGGATAACCTAATTCTTGCTCATTATAGAGAATTGATAGTCTTTCACATTCAAATGCATGAAATTGACATCATTTTGCACTATTCAGATAGTGTTTCAGCCCCCATAATTGGATGTCCCTCTAATAGAACTTGCATCGTTGGAAACTGCATATCATTTGCTGACCTAAAACTTAATAAGGACCTTATTGAAAGCGCTATCTTTAGCCCATCATGGATTCCTCCCTCTTAATCTTTTATTTTTAAACTTTTATTGCCAAAATCTTAGACAAAATTTACAGTCTTTATATTAAGGGAAGCAATATATTACCATTGGCCTTGCATTTACCTAGACAGGTATGAGGCTATAATTCCTTACAACCTATGTTTTTACTATTATTTTGCTCTCAAAATTTGGTATAATACTCAGAGTGCCGCATAATTTTTGTTAACAACCGCTTTGAGTATTTGTTTGCTCTTTGTACCTGAAATATTACAACCTTACTAAGGTCGAGTTTAATCGGTTACTCTATGTTATTGGCTCAACAATAAATCAGCTAGCCTCATTTATATTGATTTAGCTTATCCTACGGAGCTTTC